TATTCGGTTTTCAAGCTTAGCTTTCAGGATAAAGGTTTGCTCACGAAGATACGCTTAAAGGGTCCTTTTCCGGCTGCTACGTGATGGGTACTATTGACGCCATGCGTCGTGGAGTTTACCAGGGGCAGCTCGCGAGGGCATGCATAACGATTCCTATATGGTGTACCAATTTGCACTTGCTCCTCTTGTGCATTATGTTTCCCTTATTTTATGTTTTTTGTGTGAATTTTTTACATGTTAGGCTTCTGCTTTTTATCTGGGTATATTTCATTCCTTGGCGCTTTTGTTGTTTTTTCCCTGATTTTGATTTACCGGTTGTCAGTGACCAGTTCATTTTACTGTTTCGACTTTATGAATAACGCGCTACAGTTTCTACTGGCCGCTAGTGTAGATGTAATTTTGGCGTTTCTTCGCGGAAAGTGTTTTCCCCTACTTTCTTTAGCTTCACCCAGGAAATTCCCTACTGCTACCATTGCCGTATTACAGGCGTTCTGGTTTCTCGTTTTATGAGTTGAGCTGCATACTATGCCATTGCCGACTGCTGTGAATGAACAGTAACTACGGGCTGGAAATCTGTCGGTGGGTGGTGCACCTGCGGTCCTCCAGTAATTAAATATTGTTATTTCGAAGTCAAAACCGCTCGTGGTTTTCTTCAAGAAGCCGTGCTATGTTGATCTGTTGCCTGAAGTTGCAGTGGATGACACTATTCGTTCGCCGTCTTCTTTCGTTTGTGCTGTGTTGTGCCTTCAGACTACCTTAACTTCCCTTTCATTTAGAAACTCGGAGTCCTTCAGCAATGTCAGCTCTGTATGAATTTCAGTCTCTCATCCTCAGCAGGTAGGTGTGATCCCTTAACAAAGATCGTCTTTTTATACGGTTTGCCTCCTTTCATGCACCTGCATATTCTTCCTTTTACTGTAATAAATGGACGTAGAGATATATCGTTGGATACGAATTAACTAATCAGCAACACAGTAGGTGATTATTTTTACTAGTCCAGTTTGGGCTGTACGTTTATGGCCATTTCTACCTTGGTGCTAGCTCACTGCGTTCCTCATTCTGTATAATATTAGTCGTCTAAGTGGCCAAATAACTAACAGTGAGCTGTCTTCTTTCTTCCCACTGTTCACTACGCAAAATGTCATTCAGGTCTAGTAACCTTCGGCGACTGAGTAAATCTTGGAATTTTATTATGAGAGAGAGAGAGAGAGATGATGATGGTGATATGTAGCATCTACCACAAACCTATTCTCGAATCAATTTGCATTCCAAAGATTCGGATTCATTCCGCTGGCACACTTCCCACCAGTGGAACACACAACCGCTACGAGTCCCAAACAGGGCCACCGCGAGATGGAAGAAGAGGCGATCGAGGACGATAACGAGACTCCTCGCCCAGCTGGGGTGCTCGCATCGCAACCGAGTTACGGTAACAGCCTCAACTTGCCAAAGGGCATCTCCTTCACCCAGCGCACCTATGTGCACGTGAGCGGTGGCATGTTTGTCATGATCCCAATCTACTCCCATGTGCGTCCATCGGTGCCGCGCAGAGTGAGTGACTGCTGTGGCTCCATCGACGTTCCCCACCTCCACACTGGCAACTCGGTGTCCACCTACTTGTCCTCTGCGCGCTCTTACGAGGTGAGTTCTTGCTGCTGTATGCACCTTTAATTGGTTGGTTGTACGTCCACTGCCAATGCAGATTGTTCTAATGGGTAGCTAAACCTTTCAGGCTCTATCGACAACAAGCGCGTCGTTAACTAGACCGGGCGATCAGTCTCCCTAATTACCCCTCCTCCCTAGTAATGCATCTCATAAAGCTCACAAATCTGTCTGATGAAAACTCACGTTTATTTTTCATGGTGTTCAATAGATTGTATTTCCTTATTAAAGAATACCCAACTCCCGAAAAAGACATGAAAATCTGTGTATCCTAGGATATTCTGGAAAGTCAGACCGGATTTCCACAGCTGTTGCAATTTCGTTCTTTTTATTGCCCAAAAATAAACTTATACATTTCTACCGTTTAACACCCAAGCGATTTCTGCTAACTGCAAGGACGCCCGCCGTTCTCCTTAATTTCAAACAGTGTCACTGTGCTTTACCAGGGACATCTCGTCTTCATCGTTGTCTCATATTAGGCCGTTTTTTATGAATATAAAAGTGGCACAATGCTGCTAGTTGTCAACAATCATCAATATTACGCACAACGTCGGTCAAAGGTCAC